CATATCACAGTTTGTCAAAGGGACTGCGTTCTTTTCCCTTCTCTCTCTTCCCCCCCCCCTTTGCTCAGCACAAGCCGAGTGATTCCCGTGAAAACAAACGCGGGTTTTGTTCTGCAATGCAGTGATCCAGGGGGGTGGGAGAGAGGGAAGAGGTGACACACGTGTGTGTGTGTCCCCCCCAAACCCCAATTCACTTGCTGGTGGGCAGAAGGATTTTTGGGGCACGGGTTTGGCAATGGGAGCTGGAGGGGATACGGTGGCACCAGCACACCCTAAGGAATGAGGAGCAGGAGGGAAGCCCTCATCAAAACCCTGGGAGCCTCCAGCTCTTCGCGAGGTATTGAAATGTTTGGCCAAGCAAACCTTGTGTGCAGAGGAGCCTGAGAGCATCCGGGCCTGGGAGAAGAGGATGCCTTCTGCTCCCCGCCTCTCTGATTCCCCATCCCAATGAGCAGGTCCAAGCCCACTTCTCTTCTTCTTCCCTACATTCTGGGGAGAAAAAGCTGTTGTGTGCTCAGCCCCCGCTTCTCTCGGAGGCAGAAAAGTCCCATCTCTGTCCAAAAGGAGGGGACCGGCCACGCCAGCCCCACACCAAGGAAATCACCATGAAGCCCTCCATGCACCCAACGTGCCGTGCTGCTCTCTGCCCCCAGCGCTGCCGTCCTCCCTGTCCAGCTCTCCGCTGGCGTCGTCCCAGCAGGACTTTGAGACTTCAAGGAAAAGGCAGGATTTCCAGCCAGGTGAACTTTTCCCGTCTGCAGGAGCCATAAAGCCCTGGCCTCATCACGAGACTTGGGATTTTCCAGCTCCTCAGCTAATGCCATAAATCTGCTCAATAACCTTATCTGCTCCAGCCTACACCTTCCAAAGGGGATGGAGAGCCAGCCCACCCTCCTGGCTGCCCCCCACGGGGTCCAAGCATCCCCCAAAAAGCCAAGGACCATCCCCAACCAAACAGTCAAGCCCCGCTGGGTGCATTGCATGGGATGTGGCTGAAAAGTTGCCCCAGGGCCTCTTCCAGGCAGCTCAACCTCAGAAAATGCCGTGTGAGAAGGTGCTAGGCAGCAGGGAGGGTTATTTTACGGCTCTATAAAACAAGCTGAGACAACCCCTGCGCATGGGCCCCTGCCCGGGGAGCAAAGCGCTGACTCAGGCATCCTCTCGCGCCCCAGGGTGCCACTGCTCAGCAAGAAAACGGCCTCTCTGGGCTTCAAAGCTAAGCCTTGCGCTTCAAAGCACCCGACAGGGACGTCTGCAGCCACTCGAGCACATCCCATACCCCGGAGGGTTCATTTGCCATCCTGGCAAGGCGCATCACCCTCAGATGCCTGAGCTGCTCCATCTCAGAGAGCAGCGAAAAGGCAGCTGCTCTGGTGCTGGGCTCAGCTTAGGGAGCTAAACCGGCTCTGACAGAACCCGGGGACAGCGCGGGAGCTGCACAACCAGCCCTGGGAAGAGATGAGAGGGGAGAAGACGGCTCCTTCCAAGGCTGGCAAAGCAGCCAGCCCCATCCTCACACCACGCTCTGAGCAGCAATGCTGATGTCCATGGGGCAGGGCTTAGCCTCTCGCTTAATCCACCCATGCCACAGCGCTGGTACCAACAAGCAGGTATTAAATCCAGCCCGCAAACCTTGGTGTGAGCTGAAAACCTCGGTGCCACGCCACTGCCTGCCTCCCGACCGGCCAAGCAGCTTTTCCTACGCAAGGCTCCCGCCCGAGGACGGCTGCGCTGCTCCGAGGAGCCATGTGATGCTTTGGAAGCTCCTCCGCATTTTTCTGCTGCTCCAAGCCATCGTTCGGAGGCCGGCAGCTGAATGGGAAGATTTGCTTCTTGCTCAAGGGCTCCGCTGAGGCCAGGACGGCCTCGTGCCAGCTAGGGCAGATAGCTCCCAGTTAGAGAGCGGGCTGGAAGGCCTTGGGTCTGCTCACCAAGGTGAGAGTTAACGCTGAGCGGTGGCCAATGCTTCTGCCTCTGACATTTTGGGAGTCACCTTGGGGTGCAAGCACGCCTGGGTCGAGAGGAGGAGGCAGGGCTCTGAATCCCGAGTTTCAAAGGCGGAATTGCACTAAAAACCGTCACAAGTGACAGGAAACCCTTGTCTGCTGCCACGCAGAAAACTGATGCAAAAAGAAATTATCCTTGGAAGAGACCACGGGAGCACATTTGCCACCTCTGTGGTTCCTCAACGGGAGAGGGGTGGAAAGTGTGAGACCCTGGGTGATTTGTACCGCTGGAGCCCCCTTGGCACATCCCTTCGCAAAGAGGGCTCCTCGTCCAGGGGTCCACGAGGGAGCTGAGCAGCTTTGAAGAGGCTTGAAAATGACAAAAGCTTTTGGGGCTGTTTGCCTGATATTTTAAAGGCGGTCTGTGTTTCTGCTTAGCTCCACTCCGTCTCCCTTAGTGAACCATCTTGAGATACCCAACCTGTGACAACCCCCAGCTCTGCCCAAGCCAGGTCTGGAGGCTGAGCTCCGCCTGGGAGGGCTGTGGGTGCCTCTTCCACCCATCTCCCAAATTGGGCAGGTACCAGCACAGCTCTGCACATCCTGGGGACCACAGGTGCCCACACAGCAAGTGACGGCCCCACCTCCACAGGCTCCTGCAGGGATTGCTGCTCAAACCACAGGATATAACCTCTGCCTCCGAGACTCTGAGGATGCATCAGGACAGAGACCAAAGTCCTTTCAGAGTCAGCAACCGGACATGAACAAGCTTGAATTTAGTTAGAAATAAACTACCTTTAACCGCAGACCCTCTGCCCGACCTCATGGACCTTCGAACTCGCCCCCTGCCAACGCGACAGGGAAAATCGCTGCGCTGCGCTTTAACAAAAACCCTGTCCCCCGTTTCCCTTTTCCCCGAGCGCTTGTTCTTCAGCTGGAAATCATCGCCTAAACTTAACAGGTCTATTTTCCTTCCCCGCTTTGCTGTTCCCAGGCTGGCTGGCAGCAGGAAGGGGCAGCGGTGGTCCCGGAGGAGAGGGGAAGGTGATGGGTACGAAAGGAGCAGAGGGCTCATTTCAGGGTTGGGGGAGGACTCCACTTCAGCAGATGCCATCCCCCCCGGTTTCTCAAGCATCCCCCTCGCGCTCTCCAGGCCCAGATGAAACATCACCAGCATCCCCCAAGTCAAACATGAGGCTGGCTTCTCATCCCACTGTGCGAAACAGCTGAGCTGGCTTGCGGACAGGGGAGGGATGTAACGTGGGAACGCGCATACGGCTTCAATTTGGAAAGCAGCTAAAAATAGCACCACGAGGCTCCCACATTGACTGGGTCTCTCCGGCAAGAGATGAATCTTTTCCAGAGAGTCCTGTTACAGTTTTCCTCCTCTTACTCCCATCTTGCTTTTCCTGGAGGCAGCAGAGGCGTTAACGCTGGCACTTCAACCGCCATCAGTAGGTTTCAGAGTTAATCACTAGTACCCGAGGGCACGGCTCACCCGTCCCAAAAACACCGCTTTGGCTTCAGACCCGCATCTACCCCACGTGAGCCACAACGTGACCTGACAAAGGACAGCCGTATTTTTTGGAGCATGAGTCACTGTACAAAGCCCTAGAGCTGCCGTGAGCCGGTCCCACCGCACTGCCGGCCGGCTGCTGGGAAAGCCGGCCCCGGCAGCCACGGCTCATCCTGCCACAGCCCGAGGGAAAAATCTGGGGTGGCTGCGATACGGGAGCGCTGTTCAATGTGACCCTGCCCAGGCTCCCTGCTGCTTTAATTGCCCTGCTCCCTTAACGAGGAACAGGGCTGCGACCCCTGCCAAGGGCTGCTCAAACCAGGGGCTGTGCTGACCGGGGAGAGGACGGGACACTACGAGTGGGATGCTGTCTCTGCCCTCTTCTTAGATCCCCGTATGATTGAACTCAACATTTCCAGACTCCTATCAGAAGCAAAAAACCATATGCTCGGCTAGACCTTTTTTTTTTGGGGGGAAATAGCTTTTCAATGGGTATTTGAGATACACCGCTGTGTTTTAATGTGAAGTGGGGGGAAGCCTCTGAAATCCTTGTGCTGTGGCTGCAGCTGCTACAACCCTGCCCTGCCCAGGCTCTGTCTCATTTTGGAAGCCGTGTTCCATACCACAACCTGCCACGCTTCACCTCGACGTTCGTCGCTCCCGGGATGAACCCAGTCACAACTGTTTGGCACGCACTCAGGCTGCCCAAAGACGTGGGCCCAAGAGAGTACAACTCAGCACCCGGCTTGGCTGAGCCGATTTTGAGAGCCCTGCATGCTTCATTTTCCCGTCGCAGTGATGGGACACCCCGTCAGTACCTGTGCACCCCTCCACCTTCAGAGACGCAGCTCGGCTCCCACGGGAGCACTGTTTGGGGTTCTTGCTCTCCCCACATTCATTTGGATATCACCTTTGTGAAAGCAAGGGAGCAAAATCCGCCCCCCTCCTCCCACCAACCTCCTCACTGATTTCTCCCCCTCACCTCCACTGTTAAGCCCTGCATTTCCCAGCAATCTGACGAACTGGTGTTCCTTGCCCCAGATTTCACTGCATTAAGGATGATGCCCTGCCAGCTGCCACAACGCTTCACTTTCCAGCCTCTGCCTCTGCTCCTTAAAAAGCTGAAACAAAGCCTCCCGACTCCAAGCATCGAAACACGCTTGGATTTAGGGGATGAGGCTTTTGCTGGGTGAGCACCTCACCGTGCCGGGTGGAGGGATTCACTCGACTTGGCATCCCAAGCCTGTCTTCATGCTCCGGCTGGTCTAGTCGTTTCTTAACGAAACGGGCTCTGACAACGCTACTTAATAAGGAGCTACTTTGCCTCTGGGGATAAGAGCAAGAAATATGGTGCCTCGACATGTGAAAGGCAAGTCCTGTTTGCTCTGAAACTGCTGCTGGCAAGTGAAGGAGGCTTGTGGAAATGGTTTTGGCTCTGAGGGAGCGCAGTGCTCGGGCTGCTCAACCCCATCATCCCCATCCCACCCTGGCCAGGGGGTGCTCGGGGGCTTCGGTGAGGCTGGTGGAGGTGCTCTGACCTGATGATGAAGGCTCCTCTGGTCTCCAGGAGCTTCCGTTCGCTGCTGAAGCGCTTGAGCAGGTTGATCATGAACTTGTAGAAGTAGGAGTTCATGGTGGGGGTGGAGGGCGAGCACTCCAAGCCTTTCGTACCTGGGGAGGCAGGGAAAGGGGAGAGAGATTAGAGCAGTCTCGGTCAGAGAGCAGGCACCCAAAATATGGTCACAGCACTCGGCAGAGGAGGGTTAGGGCGTAAGAAGAAGATTTCCAAGCCTCACATAACCGCATCTGCTCAGCTCAAGCAGAGCCAGCCCCACTGCAGCTCTCTCCATCCCAGGGGAAAGCATCTTGTGGTGGTCCCAGCCTGTGAAGCAGCACATGGGAGCGAAATGGGCTTTTCTGGGAGGTCCTCCCAGAGCCATCCAGCTTCAGTAGCTGACAACAGAAGGGTGCCTGAGGCTCTAGATCAATACGGCATGTACACTCATCCCAAAAACAGACCGCTGGTGAGCTAAAGAGCCTTTAATCCAGCCCCACGTGCCACAGATGCCAGTGTGCACATGGTGGCAGACACACGCGGCCAGCCCTGGGTCACAGCACAGCCACCACGTTACGCTCAGTGATGTGAATCCTCCTCGAGCAAAAGCCACTTGGTGCTACAGCGTCACACACAACGTGTCCCTGGGCTAGCACAGAGTCCTGGTTAAACGACGGCAGAGCTCCAGGCTTTGAGATTTCACCGTAAAAATGTGTTTCTCTCTTTGTTCTCTGTTTTCAAAAACCCCTTACAACGAAAGCGGCTGAAGGCTGGGGAAGGGGAACTGGCACAAGGAGCAGCGGTCCCTCCAGCCTGGAGCATCCCTGCTGGGTCCGGGCACAAACCTGCTCGCTGCTTCTGCAGCAGCCATGGTTTTACCCAGAAGGCAACCGAGGCTTCGTTTTGAGGTGGCAGCTACCACTGACCTCATTTCTAAGTCCCAAAAGGCAGAAAATTACGGGTAGTGAGAGTGGCCAGAGTCTCCGAGTGAGGAAGAGTCCCAGCCTGAGGAAAAGGGGAGGCTGTGCGAGCAGAGATGGCACGGAGAAGCGACGTGCTCCGGAGAGCCAAGATGTTCTCCGACACATCCAGGCGTGCAAGGCTCCTTTGGGTTTTCTCCTTGGGGCTGGAGGATTTCTAAGGGTACAGCGAAACCCTCAGATGCTCTGCGCCCTCCTGTCACGCAAGGCACCCGGAGCTGGCAGGGCTCTGCTCGCAGCCTCTGCCAAGCAGCTGCCACCCCCTTCTGCACCTCCCGAGGCCATAAATCCACCCTCGTTGGGCTCCTGTTTCTTGTCCAACAGCAAACGGCGCTCGCAGGTCGCAAGGCGCAGACAGGGACGACCTGCAGGGCAGGGAGCCAGGGGGGCTGGCAAAGGGGCATCTCCCAGCTCACAGAGAGCACCAGGCAAAAATGCCCCTGCAAACCCACAGGCGCAGGGAGCTGGCAGGTAAAGATTGCTTTTCCCACAGCGAAACTTTAGGTTTATTTAGCAGGACAGTGCTTAAAGCAAATGTTTAGAGAGGGTTTTAAAGATGACTTTGCAACAAGGGGAGCCCTCTGCCTTCATTTCTCCTATGGAAAGACCCCGTCTGACTGTGGTAAGGAGGGAAGCCAGCACACGAGTGCCCCATCCTGAGAACAGCCACCGTTTCCATCACGTCACCAGTGGAAACCTGAAAAGTGTGATTTATGTACGCTGTCTGCTTCCACCGAGACTCCGCAGAGCACGCAGCAGCCAATTAAAGATGCAATCAAGCCGTCAGAGCCCGAGACGGCTGATGGAAAAGTCACCGGGCTGTTTTCCACCCTGCCTGTCCCGGTGATACGCAGAGATGCAGACGTGGGCTCAGCCAGGGCAGCCTGCCCAGGCTTGGATTTAGCACCCAAGAGCGCACACACAGCTGAAGAAAGAGAAAAACGAAATCCGAGGTCATCCAGACCAGAACCTGGTGGCTCCTCTCCCTTGGAGCCATGTGTTCACTCTGCCTTGCTGCATCCGAAACCCCAAACCAGGCTTTGAAGCAGGCACCTCCCGGAGCACAAGTGTTCGCCGTAGCATCGCGTTTCCCCTCAGCTGCGGGGAAGATGATCCGGGCAAAAAAAATACAGAAATAAATAGGATCTAGCTGAGCCGATGCGCTCCAACACAAAGGTGCGTTTGTTCCAAGGCAGGGAGTACCCAGCACGAAAATCCAGCCGTGCCCCATGCTCAGACCCTGCAGCTGCTCAGCACTGCTCTGAAGTGGCTTGAGAGGAGACGTGGACAGGACAAGGTGGCACGGAGCAGCTCTGCCTCCCACTGCGCCTGCCCGCGGCTCAGCCTCACGTCTCCCGGCCTGGACCAGGGGCAGAGCCTCGAAAGCAATCGCTGATTTTCCTTCTGGTGGGGAAGGGAGGTGAGGAGCAGATGGAAATCGCCCTTCAAAGCTGCAAAAGTGATACCTTTTGTCCCTTCTGTCAGCAGCGCTGAGGCATCCAAACCAGAGCTGCGCTGCAACCCAAGGCCAAGCTTCGTGCCCTGCCACCTCCTCGAATGCCTTCCAGCGACAGCCCAAACCATGACACGTCCCAAAGCACATCCCAAGGGAAAAACAGGAGGAGGCAGCAACTTCTCTCCTCCCTGAAAGGTTCAGCGCTGCTCCTGTTGCAGGCCAAAGCTCAGGAGCCACGGGGCTCTGGAACGCTGGTGCAAGACAGACCGGCCAGCAGCACCCTCAGATCCGCGCTCCTGAGGTGGTGCAGCACCTCCTGCATCTCGGACTGGAAATTTGGAAGGACTCACTGGGTCAGCTGGGTATCCAAAAGCCAGAACTGCCTCAGAGATCAGATCCTCAGCCTCCAGCCTCCGGTCCTGCTGTCTTCCTCCTTTGACTCGCTCCCAATCCTCCCACCCAGCCTGCAGGAGGCCAGGCAGTGGGTCAGGGAGCTGGGAGCAAAGAGGAACCGGGACACAGACAGCCAAAACTAGTCTCAGCTCTGCTTTTTTAGGAGAGGAAAGCATGATGTGATGGCTTGAATGCCCCAGGGAGCTGCTTCATCATCCTTTGCCTCTGGGAGCATCAAGATTGAACTCATAAGGGATCACTTCCCCATCCCTTGCCCACTCAGCCCACATTGCAGCTACGCCTGCATGTCCCTGAGGAAGGTTTCCACCACGGCACACCGCGCTGGAGCAGCCTTGCCAGCGCTCTCCAGGGCTGACATCGGGGGTGAGAAAACAGCGTGCAGGAGCCTCCCAGGCTGCAAAAGGCCCAGACAAATCTCAGCTGGAGTTTAACAGGGTGATACTTCTTCCAAGCAGGCAAAAACCTTTCTCTTGCACAACCTCCCAATCCTCCCAACTTCCCGTTTGCTGCATGTTGAAGGGATGTCTAGGAAGCGGCTGGCACCTTGCTTGCCACCGTGTAACCCTTCTCGGCAGAGCCCGGCGCTCAGTTTGCGGCCCTGTGGGTTACAGCTCAGTGCAGCAGCATCCCCAGCTCGGCAGAACCGTAGGAGCAGCTTGTCAAGCATTTCTACGAAGCACGAGAGACAAGCAGAGAGAAGTGTGATGAAAACTGTGGCTTAATTAATTGAAGCTTGCACCTCTCCCCCTTCCTGCAAAGCGAGACTTTGCAGATCCGGAACCTGCCAGATCGGCTGCTAACGCACCCGGAGCGGGGCTGGTGGCACCTCGCGGCTCCGCTGCCTTTTTATTTTGTTCTGGTTTTCTTATCAGGCACGGAGGAGGGAGCTGGAAGAAGAAAGATCCCTGCTCAGAGGAATGATGAACCTCAGCCCAGTATCAGCTATCATAGGAACAAATGGGAATTTGGGGCCCGTGGGAACATCAGAGCAGTGAAACGAGAGCTGGGAGAAACAGGCTGCGAAAGGAATGTGGGAACTGCAGCTCCACGGCCAAAAGGCACCACGCAGCCAGCCTGGACCCTTCCCAATGACCACAGCACCCTCCTGCATCCCGGGATGCTGTGCTAACGAATCCTTTCCCAAGGCAAGCTTCGCAGCCTGGGGACATGAGTGAGCTCCCTGGATCACCCGAAACCAGCACCAGCATCCGTCCTTCACCCGTGGGCTCAAGCGCAGCACAGCAACGCCCGCCAAAGCCCCCAGCGCCTCCCCAGGCGCTCACCGGTTTGTGCCGTTCCCATCACTCGCGCCACCACGCTATAAATCAACCAGGACAGGCAATTAGGGATCTATATTAAGGCCCTTATAAATATATATTGTACAGCAGCCTGGAACATTCAGGCCGTCTGGCTGCCTGATGGACTGAGCCGTCTCGAGACCTGCGGTGGCCAAAGTGTCCCCAGATTGCTCGGGGGGGAGGGGTTGGCCGCCTCTGACACCAATTGGGTTTTCCTACCTTGGCTGCAAAGCCCCGAACTTTATCCTGGCAGAAAAACGCAACTTCCACTGATTTACTGTAATTGGTTTCAAACTGGTCTTAATTAAAACTGGTGCGGACTTGCTTAACTCCATTTAAACCAAATTTAAATAAGATTGGGCCAGAATTGATTCCTTTCCGAAGCAAGCTAAAGCTGGGCATAAGCTGTTTAAAGAGCATCCGCAAGGGTATTTGCGGTGGTTTAGCTAAAATGATTTACTGCAATCCCTAATTGAGGCAATTTCAGCTCGGGTATGGGGAGGGTGAACCAGGAGCATCCTTCCCACCTGAGCACACCGCCTTTCCAGCTCAGCCTGGAGAAGGATCTCCCTCTGCATCTCCAGGAGCAGCCGGGATAAACCCGGTGGCAGCCGGAGCTGGTCCCCGAGCCTTGAACCCGCGCAGGGCTCGGCTCGAGCCCCGGCAGCGGGGGAGACGGCGCTGCCAGATGGTGCTTGGCGAAACCCCGGGCAGCGATGCGGGAATCTGCGCGGCGTCCTCGTCCCCGGCAGCCTTCCCCAGGATGTTTTGAGTTTTAGCTCTCGCCAACATGGGGCGGCGAAGCCTGGCAGAGAGGGATGAAAACAGAGCCGCAAAAAAGGCAAATCCTGCCCTTCCCCTCCCCAAAAATCGGTGCAAGGCACAGCTGGAGACAGATGCGGACGTGTCGGTAGCTCCGCCGGGCTCTGCAAAACCTCTGCTCTGCCCTCGTCGAGGCGCAGGATGCT